CTGAGCCCCGTCGCTGTGGATGGGGCAGGCCTGGGGCCGGGGTGCCTGGCTCTGCCCTGGTTCCCTCCGGGATGGAAGGCTCCGTTTTCCTTTTGCTCTGGTGCCTCTGGAAGGACTCGGTGCGTTTTCTTCCCAGCACTGAGGGGGGCCGGGCTGTGGTTCTCACACATCATCCCCAGCCTTGTGTGTAGCGGCCCTGGGATGATTTTACTCTCTTCCCGCCCGCGGCTGTTTAAAACTGGGCGGCTCAGACTTTGGCTGCCTTGGGACTTGGTTTGAGTCTGTACATCAGGTTTGCTTCCTGAAAAGGGCAGGTGCTCTCCCGGAGCGGTGGGAAGCCCTTCTCAGGCAGGTGTAATCCCTGAAGTCGTGTTTCTTTGCCACAGCCCTCCTCTCTGTGAGCAGTTGTTGCCCCCTGGGGTAGCTTGGGCTGTGATTTGAGGTGTGACAGGGAGAGGCTGTTGTGCCTCTGCTGCTGAACATCTTGCTGCGCTGTGACAAGCAGTCAGTGATAAAGCTGCAGCACTCGTGCAGTTCCTGGAGCCACAGCGGGGTTTGGGCTGGAGGGACCTTAATGCTCATCCAGTCCAACCTCCCTGCATGGGCAGGGAAATTCTCAATTAGACCGGGTTGCTCCGAGCCCCATCCAACCTGGTCTGTAGTGTTTCCAGGGATGGGGCAGCCACAACTTCTCTGGGCAACCTGGGAAGGTTCTCACCACCCTCAAAGGAACAAATTTCTTCCTAATGTCTCATCTAAATCTCCCTGCTTTCTGTTTGAAACCATTATTCCCCCTCATCCCATCCCTCCCTGCCCTTATCCCAAGCCCCTCCCCAGCTTTCCTGGAGCCCCTTCAGGCACTGGAAGCTGCTCTAAGGTCTCCCTGGAGCCTTCTCTTCTCCAGGCTGAACAATCCCAACTCTCCCAGCCTGTCTCCAGAAAAGAGCTGCTCCAGCCCAAGGATCATTTTCATGGTCTCCTCTGGACTTAGTCCAGCAGCTCCATGTCCTTGGGCTGAGGACCCCAGCACTGGCCCCAGCCAAGGGGGTCTCAGCAGCATGGAGCAGAGGGGGCCAGTCCCCTCCCTGGCCCTGCTGGTCACACTGCTGGTGACAGCCCAGGACACGGGGGGTTTCTGGGCTCCAGTGCATGCTGATTTCTCATGCCCAGCTTTTTACCCACCAGTACCTCCATGTCCTCAGGGCTGCTCCCAGTCCATCCATCCCCAGCCTGGGTGACACTGGAGATTGCCCTGACCTGCATGCAGGACCTTGCCCTTGACCTTGGTAAACTTCATGAGGTTCACATGGTCCCACTGCTCAAGCTTGTCCAGGTCCCTCTGGATGTCCTCCTGTCCCTCAGGCCTGTCAGCCACAGCAGGTCCCTGCTGGCTCAGAATTACCACAAACCACTTTGCTGAGCTGTGGAGGGTGCCCACCTCTGGGGACAGCTGCCATGTGGTCCCAGAGCATGTGCTGGGAGGCTGGTGGGTGAATTCCAGCCACGCTGTGGGAGCAGCAGGAGATGGAAAGCAGTGAGCTGCTCAGAGGCAGAGGAGTTTTTCAGGTGCGGTGGCAGCTTGTTGGGCTGTGAGGACTTAGCTCTGGGTGGTGACAGGTGAAGATGGGAGTGACAGCTCTGCTGTGGGTTCTGTCTGCAGCCAGCACCAGTGATCCTGCTGAAGGAGGGGACGGACACCTCGCAGGGCATCCCCCAGCTGGTCAGCAACATCAATGCCTGCCAGGTGATCGCAGAGGCCGTGCGTACCACCCTGGGGCCTCGGGGCATGGACAAACTCATCGTGGATGACCGGGGTAAGTGCTGGGCAGGGGCCTCTCACAGCCCGGGTAAAAGTCACTCAAATCCTCTCCAAGTGCAGTAACATTGACCCTGGCCTCCACGCTTGGAAGAGAAGGGAATCGTTGGGCCTGCTCACCTGAGTTAAGGCAGACAGTGTCTTTGGAGGATCACAGATGGTTTGGGTTGTGGAGGGACCTTAAAGAGTATCTAGTCCCAATCCTCCTGCATGGGCAGGGACACCTCCCACCAGACAAGGTTGCTCCAAGCCCCATCCAACCTGCCCTTCAACACTCCCAGGCCTGGGGCAGCCACAGCTTCTCTGGGCAACCTGGGCCAGGGTCTCACCACCCTCACAGCAAATAATTTCCTGGAGCCCCTTCAGGCACTGGAAGGTGCTCTAAGGTCTCCCTGGAATCTTCTCTTCTCCAGGCTGAACACCCCAACTCTCTCAGCCTGTCTCCAGAGCAGAGCTGCTCCAGACCTTGGATCATCTTGGTGGCCCTTCTCTGGACTCTGTGCAGGACTCCATGTCCTTAATTGTGAGGTTGTGTAGGTTCAGGGTTAGTGGGACTAGATATGAGAAAGTTCATACCAGAAAGGAGAGGCATCTTGAACATGACCTTCAGCTATCCCTGACCAGCTATCTCAGTTTTTTAAAGGAGGCTCATGGTATGTGAGCAGATGTGGCTGAGCTCAAGTTCAGTGGATAGTACTGTATTTATTTTCTTTAAAAATATGATGTAGGGATGAGATGACTCTACCCTTTGAAGACTCCTGTGAAGTTACCAAACAAATGTGGTGTTTGTGGGTTTTTTATTTCTTATTAAATAGCTGTTACAACAAGGCACAGTAATCACTTAAAAATCAATAGAACCCCCTACTCGTTTGGGTTGGAAGGGCCTTAAAGAGCACCTGTTTCCAACCCCCTGCATGGGCAGGGACACCTGCCCTAGACCAGGTTGCTCGAAGCCCCATCCAACCTACCCTTCAACACTTAAAAAGGATAATTGGATTTAAATTTACCTAGTAACTACTGTGGTTGATTTCTAGTATCTTTCTTCACACCAGTGTCAGATTAGAGTATCTGTTTGTATCTGTCTGAGGGGGCTTTTGAGAAGTAAGAGGGAAATTTAAAGCCCCTGTTAATTGCTGTGAAGACTTAGTCTGCACTCAGACTAAATTCAGTTTATCTGCTCCCAAAACAGGACTGAAATTACCCTGTTCATATGCAATGGAGACACCTGCTGAGACGCCCTCTGTGAAACAGCAGTTCTGGATTCCCCCTTGCTGTGTGTTGACCCCTTTTCAGCTGATTTCTAGCTGTGTATCTGTCTGTGGGAGTGGTTTATAACATGGTGGTGGTCACATTGCAGATCACAGAGGAGAAAAAACCCAGTAATTTGGCTGAAGAAAAAGGACTTTAGGTGGAAATGTGGTATGAGAGGCTGTGGTGGTTGAGAGAAGAAAACTCACAATGATGCAGGACTGGATGGGTCAGGCAGTGCTGGAGAGAGGAGACTGGCTGGTCTGAAGGACAGTGGGATCAAGTTGCACCAGGGGAGGTTTATAGTGAATATTAGAAGAAACTTCTTCACTGAAAGGGTAATTAACCAGTGGCACAGGCTGCCCAGGAAAGGGGTTGAATCACTATCCCTGGTGGTGTTTGAAGGACGTGTAGATGTGGTGCTGAGGGACATGGTTTAAGCATTGGACTTGGTAGAGTTATGGTTGGTAGAGTTGGGTTAATGGTTGAACTCCATGACCTTAAAGGTCTTTTCCAACCAGAACAATTCTGTGATTCATGTGTCTCTGAGACCTGAAAAGCTCCCTTGGCTGTTGGGGTGCTCTTTCAGGGTGACCAGGCCAGTTGAGCTTGACATCCCTTTGTGCATCAACCCTAGGCAAAGCCACCATCTCCAATGATGGTGCCACCATCCTGAAGCTCCTTGATGTTGTCCATCCAGCTGCCAAGACCTTGGTGGACATAGCCAAATCACAGGATGCAGAGGTAGGAGGTCACTTGGCAAGGTTTCTGCCACCAGTGGTGGTGTGGGCTTTGTGTTCACGGGTGGGGATTGCTCGGGAGGTGCTGGCATTTATCCTGGTTTCTTTACTGATACCTTCTCTTTTGTGGTGACTCTGAAGTCTCTCACAGTGCTGAGGGGGGTTGGAAACTTCAGTGATACAAAGTTCATATTTCATGAAGGTAGGGGATGGGAGAACAGGATGTAGTCTGAACCCAGCCATCTTCTTCCCTAAAGAATCCAGCCACAAGTTGGTTAGCAGAGAAGATGATGGACTCTTGTTTCCCTCTTCAGGTTGGTGATGGGACCACGTCTGTAACTCTGCTGGCTGCAGAGTTCCTGAAGCAGGTGAAACCCTACGTGGAGGAAGGTCTCCATCCTCAGATCATCATCCGTGCCTTCCGCACAGCAACCCAGCTGGTAAGGCAGCACTGCAGGCTGGGGGGTGTCTGGGGCTTCTCCACCGTGTCCAGGGAGAGGAATTCTGGGCCAAAGATGAAAAAGAACACACTTGCAGGCACAAGTTGGTGATGAAGGCGTGTTGGGGGAGGCAGAAGCCATCTCATGATGTTCTCCTGCAAACATCAGCTGCCTTTCCTGATGTCAGGGAGCTGCTGCTACCAGCTAGTGCTAGTGCCTCTTGAGAGCTGCTGCTTCCTTTGTTTTTACTCCAGGGAGGAATAATGAAGTGGGAAAATTCTTTTTACCATTTTCTGATCACTGCTGCTCCTTGGTAAATCTGATCATTAGGCTCGATCTTCTCTGGAGGTTAACTTCTTGAGTAGCCCTTTGGTTCCTCAGGTCTCTTCTGAAACAAGTGGAGCAGCTCTGAGCCTCTTCCCAGGCCTTTTATATCTGTGTTGGTGTGTTTCTTACAGTCACTGGGGAGGTGTTCCTGTGGGATCTGCTCTAGGGGATCCTGCTCTAGCAGGGGGATTGGACTAGATGATCTCCAGAGGTCCCTTCCAAACCCCACCACTCTGTGATTCTGAAGAGCTCAGATGGTTGAAACTTCAGAAATGCTGAAGTAGGGAATAAAAGGTGACAGAAAATACAAAGAGAAGAGTTGAAAATGTGATCAGCTGAAGAGCATGAATCATTAATCCAGCTGTTGGCTTGTGTCTTGGCAGGCTGTAAACAAGATCAAAGACATTGCTGTGTCAGTGAAGAAGGAAGATAAAGAGTAAGTTTCCCTTACAGATGACCTGGTTGTGTAACTGGGGTTGTTCTTGAGCCTTTGGAGTTTCCTGCTCCTCCAGGGGAGATGCTGTGCTCTCACTTGGGCTGCAGCAAATTATGTAGGCCAGTGTCTTCCCGTGCACATGGAGGAAGCCAGGGACCAAAATAAATGGCCTGATTTCTTTTTTTCCACTGATGGTGGTGACTTGCAGCTTTTCCTGTTGAATTCCTGAAGTCAGACAGCTAATAAGTGAACAAGACCATGTGTTTTCCTTTCTTTCTTGCAGTGAGCAGAGAAGCCTGCTGGAGAAGTGTGCAGCCACAGCCCTGAGCTCTAAGCTGATCTCCCAGAGCAAGGAGTTTTTCTCCAAGATGGTGGTGGATGCTGTCATGATGTTAGATGACTTGTTACAACTCAAAATGATTGGAATCAAGAAGGTGCAAGGAGGTGCTCTGGAAGTAAGTTCTGTGAGAGCCTGTCCTGAAGGATGACAGTGATCACAGCTTGTTTGGTGGGCTGACTCCAGCAGAAATGCAGCCTGGCTTGATAGTGCCTGTTTGGGAATTACCACAGTAAAACAGGCTGTTCTGTGAGGAAAAACCTTAGCAGGTAGGGCTGGATTTCTTTTCTCTAGGTAGAAAAATCTGGTGTTTTTTTTAGCCAGATGGACTCTTTCTGCCCTCTGCAGTGAATGTTGTTACTGAGCCAAATTCTGTTTATATCTCTCCAAACAACGATTCTGGAACCAAAAGTCCTGGTTGTATGTATGGGTACTGGGTTGGTAAAAATGCCAAGGAAATGTGAGGGAGCTGGTCTGTGGTGTACAGAGAAGGAGGGATGTGTGGTGTGTGCCACAGTGCTGGAACACCTGTCAGGGATGGGGCTGCAACCAGGTGTGTGGCAGGGACTTGTTTTTGGGCTGTGGAACAGTTGGTGTGTCCATGCTCTCTCCTTGTGCCCTGTGTAGGTTTGACCCATTGCTTGGGACCCTTCTGCTGAAAAGTAAAGCCTTCCCCAGTCTGTGACTTGTGATTCTGTGGCTGTTGCTGTCTGTAAATTCTGTGTGAGCATTTTCATGGAGAAGAGACATGATAATCATGCCATTATCTTGCCTGGGCAGCTCATTTACTGTATTAGGAACACTTCAGCATCTGGTTTTGTGGTGTCTGGGCTTGCTGGCATCCTGAGGCTTGCAGAAATTGGTCCCCTGGGGAGGATGGTGTCTCCCACTCTGGCTAAAAACAGCTCTTCCTCCTCTGTGTTGTTTTGCCCTTGTGTTCTGCTGTCAGATTCCTTGGAGACCTGTGTGAGGATGGGGCAAAGAATTTGGCACGTTGCCTTTCAGGGCTGGTTTGTGAGAGATCCTGGATCATCTCACCCTGTCAGCTAGACCTGAGGAAGCCTTTGCTTGGCCTGGCTGAGGAGGGACAGTAACCCTGGACAGAGCCAAGTCTGCAGGGCAAGGGTAGACACTTGGGTAGGAGATGTGGATGCTGGTTTCTCTCTCAGCCATGAAGATAAGAAGGTCACTTCAGGGGGTAGCCTTTGGCAGGGCCTTCCTGCTGCTGAACAATCCCTGGGCTGATGATGGAGCTTGGGAAATAAAACAAGGCAAAAAACCCAGACTTTGTGTGTGGGGGCTGAGGATGAGAAGTATCCATCTTCAAAGGGAAGGACTGGGAAAGACATCAGAGAGAGAACAGATGGTTCTATCCCTTGATCTTCAGACTGTGTGTAGCATCTTCTGCAGTGTTTTGAGGGGTGGAAAGGAAGCGATAGAAGCTGGGTTGGTGAAGAGAGAGAAGAAAATGTTTGATGCTTATTTTCTTTAAAAGTGGGTTAATCAGAGGAGGCAGCTGTTGGTGAGTGCTTTGTAAATGAGGGCTCTGGAAGCAGGGAGTCTCCTGTGGGAGTTGCTAACCCAGTGGAGAAAGCCTTGGGCAGCTGAGCCTGACACAAGTCCCTGTCTTCAAGGACTCCCAGCTGGTGGCCGGGGTTGCCTTTAAGAAGACGTTCTCTTACGCCGGGTTTGAAATGCAGCCCAAGAAGTACCAGTCTCCCAAGATTGCCCTGCTGAACGTGGAGCTGGAGCTCAAGGCTGAGAAGGACAATGCTGAAGTCAGAGTAAACACGGTGGAGGTAAGACCTGGAAGGGAGCTTGTCCTTCCTTGGGCCTACAGGATGGGGTGGCTGCTTGAGAGCCAGTGGGATAAATGGGGTTGCCCTGTGCACGTCCTAATTCCCCTGAAAGCAGCTGATGGGTTTCATTGCCTGGTTTGGGAGAGGGATAGGGCAGACTTGGACTTGCAGCAGGTTTGGGGCATGTTTCTGCTCAGCCATCGTGCCTCAGCTACACCTTGAAAAGTCATCAGCTGCATGATGACTTCTTCATGCCTAACAAGTAGCCTTCCAGGGAAAGCTTAATTAAGCAGTGCTTGAAATGCTGAGAAAGCCTGTAAGTATTTAAAGAAACAAGATAGCCATTTGGACAGTAGATCCTTTTCCACCTTGTTAAAATACTTCTTATGAAACATGGTCTTTCTCTGACACCTTGGAAGGTGCCACCATAGAATCATGGAATGGTTAAGGAAAGGACCTTAAAGATCCTCAGGTTCCAGCCTCCCTGCTGTGAGCAGGAGCTGCATGCACTTTAGAAGTTTTGCATACACTTGGTTCCTGCATAACTGTGGTACCTGATGATGTCTCTGCTTCCCTTGAGGGCTCTTGGCTCCAGACATCTCAGGAATTTTTTCCTTCAAGTGCCCCTCTCTGCTGTGCTGAACACCAGGGTCTTCCCTGGTGTAGGTAGCTGCTGCCCGTGGTGCTGCTGGGTGCTGCTGTAGGCTTTCCCAGCTGGCTGTGGCTGCATTCCCCTGGCAGCTGGAGCACAGCTGGCTCATGAAGCCTGGACACGTGGGGGTTCTCAGGGTATGATTTTTCCTCTGATACCTGTGAGTCTCTGCCCCAAATCCACACACACTTCTGTGAACACCTCAGACATTCATAGAATCCCTTTCCTCCTTGTGTGCTCTCTTGAGCCTCTCTGCCAGTTCATCCAGCCCCTTTATTGACTCAGTTGAGCTGCTGGCAGCATTTTGGCTGTTGGGCAGAAAGGGCAGAGACCTCAAACCACCTCTAAGTCCTGGACAACAGTTTCCTGCCTCCCTGCTGCCTTCCCCACCCTCTGTAACCTGAGTGCTTCTCCCTTTCCCATCCCTGCCAGGACTACCAGGCCATCGTGGATGCCGAGTGGAACATCTTGTATGACAAACTAGACAAAATCCACAAGTCAGGAGCCAAGGTTGTCCTTTCCAAACTTCCTATTGGTGATGTGGCTACTCAGTACTTTGCAGACAGAGACATGTTCTGTGCCGGCCGCGTCCCAGAGGAGGATCTCAAGCGCACCATGATGGTGAGTTGCCTTGTTCCACAGCAAAGCCTTTGGGTTTGTTCTGAGCAGTGCCAGGCTGGTCATTCCCAAAACAGGGCAGCAATCGGCAACTGAACTTGCTGTTCCTCACGAAGAGGTAAAATTGAAATGGCATAATTTTTTGGGCCAATGTGGTTATTATGTAAATTTGCCGTATGCTGACAAGGCTCTTCCTTGATGGAATTAACATGTGCACAATAGTTGCATAGAATCATGGAATCCCAGACTGGTTTGGGTTGGAAGGACCTTCAAGATCATCCCTTTCTGACCCCCCTGCATGGGCAGGGACACCTCCCACCAGCCCAGATTGCTCCAAGCCCCATCCAACCTGCCCTTCAACACTGCCAGGGATGGGGCAGCCACAGCTTCTCTGGGCAACCTGGGCCAGGGTCTCACCACCCTCACAGCAAAGAATTTCTTCCTAATGTCCAACGTAAATCCCTCTTCCAGCTTAAAGCTCTTCCTCCTGGTCCCATCCCTCCCTGCCCTTGTCCCAAGCCCCTCCCCAGCTTTCCTGGAGCCCCTTCAGGCACTGGAAGGTGCTCTAAGGTCTCCCTGGAGCCTTCTCTTTTACAGGCTGAACAGCCCCAAGTCTCTCAGCCTGTCTCCAGAGCAGAGCTGCTCCAGCCCTTTATTCTTTTCTGTGGCCTCCTCTGGACTGTTCCATCCTGAGTGTTTTTCTCCTAAGCTTTGTGTAGCTGCTGGACTCTCAAACCTGTGAGTTCCTCAAGCACTTAGAGGAAACATGATCCTTTTTTGCTGCCGAGGATTGTTGCTGGTGCTGGTAGCCTGCCTAGTTGCATGAGCTGGGAGGAAAGCAGAAGGGTTTATTTCCTGAATCTGCCCTGCAGGGTGGTTTTGCATCAGCTGAAAGGTCAGGAACCTGCTGGGCAAATTTGTCTTGCTGGTCAGTGCTGGCAGTGCCACACT